ACGATATTTTGGTATTTGTTTCAATAACAAAACGTAACATACTGTGACACTTTCTGTATTTTGACATTTCTATATCTTGAAAACTTGATTGCTGACATGCAAAACATTTTGGGACTGTATCAACAATGGACTAATGAAACAAATACCAAAAGATGGAAAGCCATAAGAAAAGTGTAGGCTACTGTGTTTAGGTTGTTTGATGTCTGAATAGCAAAGAATACCTTTCTATCTGGGATCTGGGTATCTGTTCAATGGTATTTTCGATTGTTGATATTTAGGCCTACCAATTAATTTTGGAAGAATACAACTAATAAATGCCCCATGAAATTGTTTTCCTAGCATAACCCTAAATATGGTTTAATTGTTTACAAACATCAAACAAACAATATAGAGTGACAGTCCTTGTATCTAGACGAGAGCACAACTGTCTGTGAATCCTCAGCTGTCAACCAACACCGAGGTATTGTATGGCACTAGACACAACACATGCATGGTGCGCTTAATTTTAGGAGCACATCACAAGCTAGGTTTCCATCCAATTGGCGACAGATCTTAATGCAAATATTCTAAAATCCACATAAAAACAATATGCGCATTTTCCCACCAGAGGTGTTTCCATCAAATTGATTTGTTACAGATAATAGGCTGTGCGTGATGACGTAGTGCACATAAAAATAACTTTTTCGGTTAAATTCCCATGTACCGAATGAAAAATACAAGTTAAATGGGTTTCCATCGCATTTCAACTATACTGATGGTTTTGTCACAAGAAATGTTGCGTTATATAGCGAATATGCCCACTCCGGTCTTGAATGTGCCCACTCAGGTCTTAGCATGTGCGCTCTAGCCAACAACTCGCACTCGCCGATACAGTGTGGGTATAGCCTACACCTACAGTGCCTTCAGAAAGTATCTATTCCCCTTGACTTACTCCACATTTTGTTGTGTTACAGCCTGAATTCAAAATGGATTAAATATATTTTTTTCTCACCCATCTACTCTCAATACCCCATAATGACAAAGCGAAAACATGATTTGGGAAATGTTTAGCAAATATATTGAAAATTAAATACAGAAATATCTCATTTACATAAGTATTCACATTTTAGTCATTTAGCAGACGCTCTTATCCAGAGCGACTTACAGTTAGTGAGTGCATACATTTTTCATACTGGCCCCCCATGGGAAACGAACCCGCAACCCTGGTGTTGCAAGCACCATGCTCTACCAACTGAGCTACAGGAGGCCTTTACACACCCCTGAGTCAATACTTTGTAGAAGCACCTTAGGCAGTGATTACAGCTGTGACTCTTTCTGGGTCTCTAAGGGCTTCGTGCAACATTTGCGCATTATTATTTTCAAAATTCGTCAAGCTTTGTCAAATTAGTTGTTGATCATTGTTAGACAACCATTTTCAACTCCCCAGTCGAATTTCAAGAAATAACCATAACATGATGCATCCACCACTATGCTTGAAAATAAGGAGAGTGGTACTCAGTAATGTGTTGTATTGGATTCAGGACAAAAAGTTATTTGTTTTGCCACATTTTTTGCAGTATTACTTTAGTGCCTTGTTGCAAACAGGATGTTTAGGAATATATATATATATATATGTATATTAGTTTTTTTCCAGGCTTCCTTCTTTTCACTCTGCCAATTAGGTTAGTATTGTGGAGTAACTACAATGTTGTTGATCCATCCTCAATTTTCTCCTATCACAGCCATTAAACTCTGTAACTGTTTTAAAGTCACCACTGGCCTCATGGTGAAATCCCTGAGAGGTTTCCTTCCTTTCAGGCAACTGAGTTAGGGAGGACGCCTGTATCTCTGTAGTGAAATTTTGTGTAATTTATAACTTTGCCATGCTCAAAGGGATATTCAATGTATGCTTTTTTATTTTTACCAATTTACCAGTAGGTGCCCTTCTTTGCGAGGCATTGGAAAACCTCCCTGGTCTTTGTATATATATATATATTATTATTATTATTTTATTTTTTTCGGGAACTGCGGTCCGTATTGACCCTGTTCTGGGTCGCTGAGTATGGAGGGCGTAGAGAATCATTGTACCATCTAAACCTCTGTGAAATCTCTTTTCCATAAACAAAAAGATATGTGTACTCCTAAGAGGAGGGGGATTTGGTTAATACACATTTATATATATATATTTTATTTCCAGCTGTTTGAAGCTGATGTATAAAACCGAAATTAAAAGACGCAAAAACGAAACTTAAGAACGGGAAGCATAGAAATAGCACACATAGAACATATCTACTGCGTCTTAGACTTGCTTTCAATGAGAATAACAGATCTATAACGCACATTCGTATATGAAATTGGTCAGGTCGCCCAAAAAGTTACACATTGCAGCTTTAAACAAAATCCAATGACACAGGTGACATTTTTTGTTTGATTTCACGTTGAATTCACGTTAGTTGACAACTCAACCATATGCAAATCAAAACTAGACATTGAACTGATGTCTGTGCCCATTGGGGTACTCGCATAAAAAGGTTGGAGGGAAACCTGGTTACAGATACTGATGAAACCAAAAAAAATATGACTGCCTTACCTTTATTATAGTCCGGAATGTAAGCAGAAGGACAATAACGAGGAGCACCAACACAGTAGAGACAAGATAAGGCTTTCAAGTTCAAACTCCCATGCAAGTGGTACAGCAGAACTCCCCTTGAATGTCCCACCTCTTTTGCGCTTTTGCTGAGCCATAAATTGCATTGGCTACCTTTCTCGCGCTTGTTTTACGGACAGTTGAGGAGTGACCTGTCTAGATAAATGCAACTGCCCTTTTTGTCTTTGTTAATTTCAACATGTGATGGACTGGTAACCCTTCGTCTAATCCTATACCATTTGTTGACACAATCCTAAACGCTGTGTGAATGCATGATCCCTTAAATCCGATAAGGTGATTATAAAGGTTACCTCAAACAGCTGGGCATTGAAACGTACTTCACTTATACACACGATTCTGTTGTCTCCCACTGCCTAGTAGATGTCCCATAGCTTTATCCATCGTCAAACAAGAAGACTGTCGCACCTTTCTGTATGTCCAGTGAGTGACTGCACTACAATTGGTACACACACCAAAAAGCGCTATGCCTAAACTTGTACCAACACCAGGAACAACATTTCCATACTGGCAAAACATGTCCCTTTAGAGGAACGTTCAGCATTTCTTTGCATGAGATACTGTATAAATTTTCTGTGTCACCATGGAAGGGTAATCTTACACATTACTTGATCTCATCCTACAGACACTGTAATTACTTGGTTATGACAAGTGGTTTATATATATATATATATTTGTCATTTAGCAGAAGCTCTTATCCAGAGCGACTTACAGGAGCAATTAGGGTTAAGTGCCTTGCTCAAGGGCACATCAACAGATTTTTCACCTAGTCAGCTCAGGGATTAGAACCACCGACCTTTCGGTTACTGGCACAACGCTCTTAACCACTAATCTACCTGCCGCCACAGGTGGTGGTGTGGAAGAAACTGATTTAATGTTGTTGTTTCTTAATGTTTGCTATTGAGTGCAATATTGCAAAGCCCGTAAAACATTAGTGCTTATAAGCCATCAGCCCCCGCCCCTTGGATTTGATCTGCCTTTGCTCTTTAGTCAGCAGTTTCACCAGTCCACACTTCCTGTTAGCTCTAACACTAGTGCTTTCTCCCCTGTCATGACCCCCAGCACGCACATCCGCCTGGCCCCCGGAGATCAGGTTGACCTTCAGTAAGAGTGGAGAGACAGAGGGGAGTAAATCGGAAACCTGTGATCCAAATCAAAGTTTTTTGGTCACGTACACAGATTTGTAGGTGTTATCGCAGGTGCAGCGAAATGCTTGCGTTTATAGCGCCAACAATGCAGTAATACCTAGCAATACAAAACAATACACACATAATCCAAAAAGTAAAAAGTGGTCACGTACACAGATTTGCAGATGTAATCGCAGGTGCAGAGAACTGCTTGTATTTCTAGCTCCAACAATGCAGTAATACCTAGCAATACAAAACAATACACACATAATCCAAAAAGTAAAAAGACGGAATAATTAAGAAATGTTGGAACGAATCCAATTAACAACTCAGACAGCACTGTAACAGTAATCCAAATGCAATCTATACATATCTACACCTGATTAATTTACACAAGATATACTAGGAATCCATCTGCATCACCTCTTTATGTTCCCATCATCTGTCTTTCACCCCTGCTTCCGTATTTTACTCTGTTTTCCATTTCATTCTGCCACTGATCTGCTGTGATAGCATGAGGCCCATCACAGGGACAGCTGCATGAAAACACACATCTATTCCCATTATGCTCAACTTTAGGATGGCTCATTTTGCCAATTGGTTTAACCTTTTTATATAGTCATAACTAGAGCTGTCTTTTGGATAAGTCGCACAAAGTAAAGGGACAAGTTATTGTATAAACAAATGATACGACATATATATGCTGTTGACACATTTTGTTTTGTGTCCATAATAATGATAAGCTGTTTTTAGAGGATGATAAATTATCCATGAGAGTTGCTGCCAGTTTATTGAGTTAAGAAATGCCCAGCAATTGAATCAGAATGAAAAATGTAATTACATCCTACAGAGAAAATATTATGCAGACTGTTTCCATTAGGCCATCCACATTCTATTTCAAGTTTAACGGATTTCATTTTTTCAAAAGTGAGGCAAGTGAGCGAATAAAAATAATTAACCCCCTATAGCGACCTAAGTACAACAACTAGCAACCTTGTCATGAGATTTTAGCCTGAATTTGAGAGTGGTTCCATTTCTCCAGCCCCATCCTTCAGCTGTTTACCAAAACAAGTAGCGGGGTGTCCGCATTGTTGTTTTTCTAATCCCAGATTTCCCCTTTAAGAAGACAAAACAGTATTCAGTACTGTCCTACTAAGAGAGTCTTTCACAGAACCCTGATCTCTGTCTATTGGTTCCAGAGACTGAACCGTTGGCCTGGAACATCATCACCATGGGATACCATTCCCTTCCCAGTCCAGAAGGCTGCCATTGTGCTTCTCTGTGAGGGTTGACATCACATTCAGCATGCCTTTGGCACTATCCTCAGTCCTCATCAGCACCTGTCGAATAGAAACACACAACAGACAGACAGACAGTTTCCAGATCTGTGCCAATCTCCTATGACTCTAGTCCTACCTTATTCTACACTTATAAACAAATATGTAATTATTATATGAGTTTTGCTACTTCAGAGTACTGTAGAGTGCATTGTGCAGAACGGAATTGTGGGCTTTTAAGCTTTATAGTTCTATTCTATTCTTTACATAAACATGCAAACATCACTCGATATAATCCATGAAACCAGGTAATTCTCTCCCCACCCCCGTTACTCACATGTGGGCCTCCCATGTCAGTTTTCACCCAGCCAGGGTGGATGGCAATGACCAGAATGCCATCTCTCTTGTAGTCCCCTGCCAGACAGCGTATCAGCATGTTTAGCACCGCCTAATGGAGAATAGGACAAACGATCACATTTTATCCACATCTTCGTTATTCAGCATGGAAAGTATACTGATCAAAAATATAAATGCAACATGTAAAGTGTTGGTCCCATGTTTCATGAGCTGAAATAAAAGATCCCAGAAATGTTCCATACTCACAAAAAGCTTATTTCTCTCAAATTTTGTTCACACATTTGTTTACATCCCTGTTAGTGAGCATTTCCCCTTTGCCAAGATAATCCATCCACCTGACAGGTGTGGCATATCAAGAAGCTGATTAAACTGCATGATCATTACACAAGTAAACTTTGTGCTGGGGACAATAAAAGGCAGCTCTAAAATGTGCAGTTTTGCCACACAACACAATGCCACAGATGTTTTAAGTTTTGAGGGAGCGTGCAATTGGCATGCTGACTGCAGGAATGTCCACCAGAGCTGTTGCCAGATAGTTTAATGTAAATTATTCTACCATAAGCCGCCTCCAAAGTCGTTTTAGAGAATTTGGCAGTACATCCAACCGGCCTCATAACCGCAGACCACGTGTAACTACACCAGGCCAGGACCTCCACATCCGGCTTATTCACCTGCGGGATGGTCTGAGACCAGCCACCCGGACAGCTGATGAAACTGTGGGTTTGAACAACCGAAGAGGTTCTGCACAAACTGTCAGAAACCGTCTCAGGGAAGCTCATCTGTGTGCTCGTCGTCCTCACCAGGGTCTTGACCTGACTGCAGTTCGGCGTCGTAACCGACTTCTATGGGCAAATGCTCACCTTTGTTTGCCACTGGCACGCTGGAGAAGTGTGCTCTTCACGGATGAATCCCGGTTTCAACTGTACTGGGCAGATGGCAGACAGCGTGTTTGGCGTTGTGTGGGTGAGCGGTTTGCTGATGTCAACGTTGTGAACAGAGTGCTCCATGGTGGCGGTGGGGTTATGGTATGGGCAGGCATAAGCTACGGACAACAAACACCACTGCATTTTATCGATGGCATTTTGAATGCACAAAGATACCTTGACGAGATCTTGAGGCCCATTGTCATGCCATTCATCTGCCGCCATCACCTCATGTTTCAGCATGATAATACAAGGTCCCATGTGGCAAGGATCTGTACACAATTCCTAGAAGATGAAAATGTCCCAGTTCTTCCATGGCCTGCATACTCACCAGATATGTCACCCATTGAGCATGTTTGGGATGCTCTGGATCGACGTGTATGACAGCATGTTCCAGTTCCCGCCAATATGCAGCAACTTCGCACAGCCAATGAAGAGGAGTGGGACAACATTCCACAGGCCACAATCAACTCTATGCGAAGATGTGTCGCGCTGCATGAGGCAAGTGCTGGTCACACCAGATACTGACTGGTTTTCTAATCCACGCCCCTACCTTTTTTTTAAGGTATCTGTGACCAACAGATGCATATCTCTATTTCCAGTCATGTGAAATCCATAGATTAGGGCCTAATTTATTTATTTAAATTTGCTTATTTCCTTCTATGAACTGTAACTCAGTAAAATGTAGCGTTTATATTTTTGTTCAGTGTATTTGTTGACCGTCACGACTTCGGCCGAGGCAGCCTCCCCTCCTTGTTCGGGCAGGCTTCTGCGTTCGTCGTCACCGGCTTACTAACCACTGCCGCCCCAATCATCATCACAATTGTCTTGTCTTGTCAATCACACACACTTGGTTCGTATCCCGAATTAGTCTGTGTATAAGTGTTCCCTCGGCCCCCTTGTCCTTGTGGGTGATTGTTATTTTGTGAGAGGAGTGTAGCTCGGTGGAGCTACTCGTACATATTGTTGCCAGGGTAGAGTTTCCCCTGTGCCTGTTTCGTTGATCGCTTTTTGACAGCATTTGTGTGTCTACGAAGGAGTAAACTCTGTATTCGGTGATTACCCTCCTGCGCCGGACTCCTTTCCATCACACTCATCACAGTAGGAAGTTGTACCACAATCAACCAGAAGAAAATTAAGGATCATATAAGACCATGAAAAAGTATTCATCCTCTTTGGCGTTTGTCCTATTTTGTTGCATTACAACCTGTAATTTAAATGGATTTTTATTTGGATTTCATGTAATGGACATACACAAAATAGTCCAAATTGGTGAAGTGAAATGAAAAAAATAACTTGTTTCAAAAAATTTACGGAAAAGTGGTGCATGCATATGTATTCACCCCCTTTGCTATGAAGCCCCTAAATAAGATCTGGTGCAACCAATTACCTTCAGAAGTCACATAATTAGTTAAATAAAGTCCACCTGTGTGCAATCTAAGTGTCACATGATCTGTCACATGATCTCAGTATATATACAACTGTTCTGAAAGGCCCCAGAGTCTGCAACACCACTAAGCAAGGGGCAGCGCGAAGCAAGAGGCACCATACAGACCAAGGAGCTCTCCAAACAGGTCAGGGACAAAGTTGTGGAGAAGTACAGATCAGGGTTGGGTTATAAAACAATATTAGACACTTTGAACATCCCACGGAGCACCATTAAATCCATTATTAAAAAATGGAAAGAATATGGCACCGCAACAAACCTGGCAAGAGAGGGCCGCTCACCAAAACTCACGGACCAGGCAAGGAGGGCATTAATCAGAGAGGCAACAAAGAGATCAAAGATAACCCTGAAGGAGCTGCAAAGCTCCACAGCGGAGATTGGAGTATCTGTCCATAGGACCATTTTAAGCCGTACACTCCACAGAGCTGGGCTTTACAGAAGAGTGGCCAGAAAAAAGACATTGCTTAAAGAAAAAAATAAGCAAACACGTTTGGTGTTCGCCAAAAGGCACGTGGGAGACTCCCCAAACATATGGAAGAAGGTACTCTGGTCAGATGAGACTAAAATTGAGCTTTTTGGCCATCAAGGAAAACGCCATGTCTGGCGCAAACCCAACACTTCTCATCACCTGAGAACACCATCCCCACAGTGAAGCATGGTGGTGGCAGCATCATGCTGTGGGGATGTTTTTCATCGGCAGGGACTGGGAAACTGGTCAGAATTGAAGGAATGATGGATGGCGCTAAATACAGGGAAATTCTTGAGGGAAACCTGTTTCAGTCTTCCAGAGATTTGAGACTGGGACTGAGGTTCACCTTCCAGCAGGACAATAACCCTAAGCATACTGCTAAAGCAACACTCGAGTGGTTTAAGGGGAAACATTTAAATGTCTTGGAATGGCCTAGTAAAAGCGCAGACCTCAATCCAATTGAGAATCTGTGGTATGACTTGAAGATTGCTGTACACCAGCGGAACCCATCCAACTTGAAGGAGCTGGAGCAGTTTGCCTTGAAGAATGGGACAAAATCCCAGTGGCTAGATGTGCCAAGCTTGTAGAGACATACCCCAAGAGACTTGGAGCTGTAATTGCTGCAAAAGGTGGCTCTACAAAGTATTGACTTTGGGGGGTTGAATAGTTATGCACGCTCAAGTTTTCTGTTTTTTGTCTTATTTCTTGTTTGTTTCACAATATAAAATATTTTGCATCTTCAAAGTGGTAGGCATGTTGTGTAATTCCAGGTTATAAGGCAACAAAATAGGAAAAATGCCAAGGTGGGTGAATACTTTCGCAAGCCACTGTAGGCCTACTGATGGTGGCATACCTTGCTGACTCTGTAAGACAGGGAGGGGCCATGGCGAAAAAACCTTTCCAAGTTATATCATGTTGACTGCTAACCACTACACACAGCCTACATCGTTGGCACCTCTTAGTCAACATAGCTACTAGAACTAACGCTACAATCATGCAGTACAGTGTACAGTCAGAAAGCAGTTTAGTAGTTACACCGGTGGGCCCCGTTGGCAATAAATTAATAAAACCAAAAGCTTACCTTGACTTGTAAGAGTTCCAGTGTTGGATAGCCATAGCCAGTTAGCTAACATAGCATCCCTCTCTGTCTGAGCCGGGTGTTTATGAGTAGGCTAAACTAGCTAGCTGCATTCAGCTAGCTAAGTGAAAGTTAAAAAAACACAACCAAATATACCTAGCGCTCTCGCTCTCTTTCTCTCTCTCTCTCTCTCTCTCTCTCTCTCTCTCACTCTCTCGCGTCTCCTTAATTTTGGAATAAATTAATTTGTTCAAAACTGTTAAACTATTGTCGTTCTCTCTCTTTGAGTCAACTACTCACTAGATTTTATGCACTGCAGTGCTATCTAGCTGTAGCTTATGCTTTCAGTTCTAGATTCATTCTCTGATCCTTTGATTGGGTGGATAACATGTCAGTTCATGCTGCAAGAGCTCTGATAGGTTGAAGGACGTCCTCCGGAAGTTGTCATAATTACTGTGTAAGTCTATGGAAGGGGGTGAGAACCAAGAGCCTCCTAGGTTTTGTTTTGAAATCAATGTACCCAAAGGAGGACAGAAGCTAGCTTTCCTCCGGCTATACCATGGTTCTACCCTACAGAGTGCTTTTGAGGCTACTATAGACCATTTGAAAACAGTGTGTTTTAATAAATGATTTGGTGACGTGAATATATTTAGTATAGTTTTAATGTTTCACTATTTGTATTGTTGTGAAATTCACTGAGAAGGATGGTCCTCCCCTTCCTCCTCTGAGGAGCCTCCACTGAAGTACACCATAACAAAATTCCTGAGCAGGGTGTAGGTAAACAATGAAACAGTAAGACAAAGGACTTCAGAAGTTCATGTGATAGTGTTTGTTTTGACTCTAGCGAAGAGCATGGGTGCCACTGCATTGGTGACAAACAAATCCACCATCTCCTTCTTGCCCGTCACTGCTAGTGTGCCAGGGGGGTTGTTCCCATCGTTCACGACAACGGCATTAATGGCAGCGTTGTTAATGATCAGATTCATGCTGCCGTCAATCCGTTTATCACCAACCATCCTGGAGGCTTCGGAAATACTGACTGGGTCTGCAACGTCTGTCAACCCAAAAATATTGACATTTTCAGGTTTAGGAAGAGGAACTATAGAAAGTCACTCAGCTCTTGTCACCCTGTAAGAATTATATTTTCTGCACAAAGTTATCACTTCTGTGTATTTTTATGGCAGGTCAGTGTTGGGCAAAATATAAGCCTCACCATAGGACCTTTGGGCTGTTTTTCCAACATGCTCATGGCAATAGCAAGAGAGGGACATTATTTGGTAGTTTTTTGTGTTTTTGTGTTGTTATGAAGCCAGTGTAGCAGAAACCCTTACCCAATCTCACAATGGTGACCAGTTGGGGATACATCTGCGCCAGCACCTTCAGTGCCTTGAAGCAGGAACAAAGGTGTTGGGTCAAGGCAGGCTAAATTCCAGTACCCTGATTCACTCTGGCAATTTCCAGAGAGAATGAAATGGAAATACAAAGTAGAGTGCTAATGAATCGTTCTAATACAAAATCACAACACACAGTATAATTGAGAATTATATATTCAACTCAAATATTGCTACATAAAACAGAAACCATGCTGTTTTCCATTGTTGTCAACTTCTACATACTAGTACTCTATTTATGCACACACAGTGGTGGGAAAAGTACCCAATTGTCATACTTGAGTAAAAGTTAAGATACCTTAATAGAAAATGACTAAAGTAAAAGTGAAAGTCACCCAGTAAAATACTACTTGAGTAAAAGTCTAAAAGTATCTGGTTTTAAATATACTTAAGTATAAAAAGTAATAGTAAATGCAAAAATATACTTAAGTATCCAAAGGAAAAGGAAATGCTATTAAGACGTCACAATTTTCTAGTTTTTTTTAACTTACGGATAGCCAAGGGCACACTCCAACACTCAGACATAATTTACAAATGCAGTATTTGTGTTTAGTGAGTCCACCAGATCAGAGGCAGTAGGGATGATCCCTTGTTCTCTTGATAAGTGTGTGAATTGTAAAATGTTCCTGTCCTGCTAAGCACTTGAAATGTAATGAGTACTTTTGGATGTCAGGGAAAATGTATGGGAGTAAAAAGTAGGGAGAGTGGGGTAAGTTGAGCCGAAGGGGTAAGTTGAGCCACCCTTGTTTACCAAAATGAATAATTTCACCAAATATTTAGGAAGGTCATAATTTAATGGGGCTAATATAGTCAAAATGTTTGTCTTGGTGTAAGTTGAGCCAATGGCCATGGGGTAAGTTGAGCCAATGGCAAGTTGTTTTCTTCCCAGGTGTAATGCAAGGCATTATCGCTGGGATATGAGGTAACAACAGGGCCTGTTAGGTGTTAAGCCTGTGTTAAAATTTGTTTAAAATGACTAAAAGACCAAAAAGCTATTGTGATTGTGTTGAAATTGTGTTTGGGAAATAAAGATAGACATGGTTTTAAAAAGGTAGTGGGAATATTTAATTCAGTACAGAAATTTGTAGATTACTTTACTAACCCTGTTCCGCAGCTCGTGCCAAGAGACCACTTTTTCTTTGGACAAGCTATGTTTTCAAAACTGTAATGTTTACATTAATTCTGATTATTTCCAGTGATACACAACATCCTGAAATATATGTAGATACTGTATCTTTGTAAGAGAGAATACTATATGTCCCTTGATGGAGTAATGCTGAATGTAAAAAATGGCTGAACTTACCCCACTCTCCCCTGTATATTTTCTTTAGGAATGTAGTGGAGTAAAAGTAAAAGTTGTCAATGATATAAACAGTAAAGTATAGATTCCCCCCAAAACTACTTAAGTAGTACTTCAAAGTATTTTTACTTAGTTACTTAAAGTAAAAATTCACTCAAAACCACTAATTCCTATAATTTACAGTGTTAAATAACACTAATATGTGAGAACAATATTTTGAAAATCGTTGTGGAAATCTGTTGCAGCTCAAGTCAACTACAAAACCCACAATGCAATGCTCTCTCTATGGGCTGGCTGGCTAGCTAGCTACAGCAGACATAGCTACACACAATAATACCAAATTCAATATCAGCATGTGAAGTAGCTAGTTAGCTGTAAAATCGCCTAAACAAAATGCACTATCAATTTATGAGTCTACATTCGCAACGGCACCATGCAATGCACCCTGGTCTGAAGAGGCAGATAAATAAGATATGGTGGACCCTCTGTTCAATTACACATTTCTCGATGCAGGAATTTCGCTAAAATATGATCCATGGCTCATTCGAGAGAAGACAACCTCCCGCGTTATGACATCGGCCAGTATTTAAATCTGACATGTATGATAGACGTTTTCGCTATCTAAAAGTCGTATTCCTATTAACTTCCAGTGTATTGAGAGCGGCTTTATCGCAGGCCGGAAATACACATGAAAACATAAAATGACCCCGGGAATCGATAGAACATCGCTCTGAGATTGTTGTATCTCAATCAGCCTCTGAGGTGCTTTTACTTCTCTACCTGACCGTCTCATTTCAATAGGCTGCCCTGGTGGGTCTGACACAGGAGTGTCTGGGCTTGACGTTGTCTGACCTGTAATGTCACTCTCTTGCCTGTCCGTTTGTTCACACTCAGGTTCATGTAACAAGGGTCTCCTATTTCTCCTGTATGTAACTCCGTCAGGTGTCATTACATCATATGACCTGGTTGCCACTGTTTTCACCACACGGGCCTCAACGCTCCATGTTTTCCCATCATGCATTTTCACCCTATCATTTGGAATGAGTGCACTGAGCACCTTGGACCCATTGTCATAATACCTTTTCTGTTCACTGTTTTGTTAAGAATGACCTTGTCATCCTTCTCTGTTTCTAGGAGTACTGGGAACCTAGTTTTGAGTTTCCTGTTGAACAACAGCTCTGCAGGAGACAGACCATGTTTTAGTGGAGTAGCCCTGTAGTTTAACAAAGCTAGATACGGATCTGTCTTTGAGTCGAGAGCTTTCTTAAGCAGTAGTTTCACTGTTTTGACACCGTTCTCGACTAACCCATTAGACTGTGGGTACAATGGGCTGGATGTGACATGCTTGAACCCGTACAGTTTAGCAAAGTCACTGAAAGCTGAACTGTGAGGTGTTGTCCGTACGGACTACCTCTGTGACCCCATGGCGATGGCGAGCAAAGAATGGCTTAATGTGAGTCATCACCTGACTAGCAGTAATGTCCTTCAGTAAAGTAATCTGTGGGTAATGAGAGTAATAGTCCATCAGTAGAACATAGTTCTTGCCCTCAAGAGAAAAGAGATCTATTCCTACTTTGCCCCATGGTCTCAACACCTCTTTTTCCTCAACCCACATTGGCTCTTTGCTCTGTTTTGACCAGTATTTCTGGCATCTTTCACAGGCTCTGTCTGTCTGCTCTATATCAGCATTCATCTTGGGCCAGAATAACACTGCTTTTGCACGTCATTTTGACTTTTCCATCCCTAGATGGCCCTTGTGTATTTTGATCAGCCTGTTTTTCTGTAACACACTTGGTATCACAATTCTTGAACCCTTAAACAGAATTCCAGCTAAGTACAGATAGCTCATCCCTGTATTGACCATAAGGGTATAGTATAGCTTGTACAGACCACCCGCATGTTATGGCTTGAATCAACTTTTGCAAACACTCATCTTCTGCAGTAGCATGTGAAATAACTGTCCACATTTCATCTGAGACTGGGCAACTCTTTCTGATAAAGTTTACATGTATGGTCTCATCCTGCTCGTATACCTGGTTTGGTTCTGAGCTGTCAAAATCTCTGGACAAAGTGTCTGCCACTAACAATTCTTTCCCTGGCCTGTACTCAATTTGCAAGTCATATTTCTAAAGGTTTAGAAACAGTCTCTGTTCCCTTGGTGGTGTGTATGTTAGACCCTTCTTTGCAGGTTTATGATCTGTTTCAGCCCACACTTTTTTACCAAAGACAAACACATAGAATTCCTCACATGCATATGACAGTGCCAATGCCTCTTTCTCAATCTGAGCATAGTTACACTCAGAAATTGTCAGAGCCCTGGAGGCATAGGCGACTGGGCGCCATCTAGTGCCATACTGCTGTAACAACACTGCACCTGAACCTGCTTTAGAGGCATCTGCTGAGATTTTGTTTTTGCGCTTTTCATCATAGAACCTCAGTACTGGTGCATGCATAATTCATGCCTTGAGCTCCTCAAACTCTTTCTGGTCATTACTGTTCCAACACCACTCTGTAATTTTACACAGCAGACTTCTCATCTGACTCATGTGAGTTGACAGATTAGGTACTAATTTGCCCATATAGATAATCATACCCAAGAACCTTTGTACACCCTCTTGATCGGCGGCATGTTCTTGATGGCTGTCACTTTGCTCTGGTCTATCTGAACACCTTCACATGTACATTTTTCACCCAAGAAGGTTATTTCTGTCTTTCTGAATTCACAATTGTCTGTGTTTAGCTTTAGCCCATTAGCTCTGGCGAGATCAAGTGCTGCTTTCTGATTATTAGCACATCATCAATGTACACTTTTGTGCCTGGCACACTCTCAAATATCGGTTGGACTGTTCTATGAAAGACTTCTGGTGCTGAAGTGAGACCAAACGGGACCTTTTAAATGAGTACCTACCAAAAGGAGTACTGAATGTACAAAGCCTTGTACTCTCCTTGTCTAGACTGATCTGCCAAAACCCTGAGGAGGCGTCTAGCTTTGAGAAGTATTTAGCCCCTGCTATGTCCCCGAATATCTCCCCTCTGGTAGGCAGCTAAAAGTGTTCCCTTTTTACATACTTGTTTAGCTCTTTTGGATCCATACACAGTCTGAGAGCCGTCTTTCTTCTCAACTATTACTAGTGAGTGGACCCATTCAGTAGGCTCTTCTACTTTGTCTAGGATATCTAAGGACTACTGAGCTAGTCTCTTAGTGATAATGGTACCTTTCTAGGTGCTTGGATCACTGGTCATCATTTGGCTGCTCTAACTCCATGTTGTGCTGCACCTTGAGTTTCCTATTCCCTGAAAAACATCAGCATATACTAACTGTAAGTCGCTCTGGATAAGAGCATCTGCTAAATGACTAAAATG